ATTAGTGGTACATTTTCTCTGGGCCAGAATATATTGGGTATGGCTTGGCTTTGAGCTAATTTGATGCATATTTATTGCTATGTTTAACTCTAGAGTAAAGCATTTATTTATCCTATAAATATATTTGAGCATCTGCTATCTGCCAGCCAATGTGTCTTAAGGAAGACTCAACCCATTATTTTGTAAAAATGTCTGTACAGCATATAGAAGCCAATTGGGGGAGTGCTAAGGAAGAACTAGTTGAGTCAATTTTATTAAAGCACTTGGCTGGGCATCCATAGCTCAGTGGTTAGGGCGCCGGCCACATGCTCTAGGGTTGGTGGGTTCGAACCCAGTCCAGGCCTGTTAAACAAACAAAACAAATAGCTGGGCGTTGTGGTGGGTGCCTGTAGTCCCAGCAACTGGAGAGGCTGAGGCAAGAGAATCACTTGAGCCCAAGAGTTTGACGTTGCTATAAGCTATGATGCTACGGCACTCTACTGAGGATAACAAGGTGAAATTGTCTCAATTAAAATAAATAAGTAAATAAATAAGTAAAGCACTTGGACCATGGTAAGTTTAGATGCTCAAGCAATCCTGCTGCCTCAGCCTCCTGAGTGCTGTTACTACAGGCCCATGCCACATGCCCAGTTAATTTTTCTATTTTTTGTAGACATGGGGTCTCGCTATTTACTTGGACTGGTTTCAAACACCTGACCTCTAGTGATCCTCCCACCTTAGCCTCCCAAAGTGCTAGGATTATAAATATGAGCTACCATACTTAGCTCTTGTGCTTGTGAGCTATTAGTATAGCTACTAGTTCTAGGATTTACTGTTGTTACATAGGACTTTACTGTTTAAAAAAGAAAATCCAACAGGCACAAATCCCTATTTGGAAGTCAATCTTTTACAGTTAGGTACTACTTGTCACCAAGTTGCAATGGTTCTTATTATTTTTTTAACTTTTTTTTTTTTTTTTTTTTTTTGCAGTTTTTGGCTGGAGTTGGGTTTGAACCTGCCACCTCTGGCATATGGGGCCGGCACCTTACTCCTTGAGCCACAGTACTGCCCTATTTTTTAACTCTTTTTAAAACATTTTTAATTACAGAATATTGCAGGGGTATACACACTTTGATTACATAATTTGCATTTGTACATTTTAAGTCAAATTTATGAGTGTGTTCTTCACCTAGAATATATGTGCATCGCACCATTTAGGTGTTAATTCACCCTACTCCCTCTCCACCTCCCACCTACTTGATTTTCATTGACATTTTTTCCCATATGTACACATAAGTGTTGATCAACTAGTTTTATTTTTTAACTCTTTAATGATCAATAATGCACATTTATAATTTTGGTTGAAATTCTTTGAACTTAAATTAAGAACGATATTTACACATTTAAATTCAAAACTACCAGTAAAAGTTTAATATTTCTACTCATCCTCCACTTGGTAAAGCATCACCAACCAAATTCAGATCACCATGCCTACAAAACCCTGGGATTTGTGTATCAGTTATTTCATGATGACCCAGTGAGATAATATATGCTTTAAAGTTAAAGTAAAATACACTGTAGCAACAGATTACTTCTTGAACACCTTTATAAAGTGTTTATAATTTTTGTGATAGAAGTTAAGAAGCTGGCTTGGCACCTGTGGCTCAATCAGCTAAGGCGCCAGCCACATACACCTAAGGTGGTGGGTTCAAATCCCCAGCCTGGGCCCGCCAAACAACAATGATGGCTGCAACCAAAAATATTGGCCAGGCGCTGTGGCGGGTGCCTGTGGTCCCAGCTACTTGGGAGGCTGAGGCAGGAGACTCGCTTGAGCCCAGGAGTTGGAGGTTGCTGTGAGCTGTGATGCCACAGCACTCTACCCAGGGGGATAGCTTGAGGCTCTGTCTCAAAAAAAAAAAAGGAAGTTGAGAAGCTGAATAAACATATAGTTCCTGATTTGTGGTATACTTTGAACAAAATTAGTAGTACAGTTCCTTTAGTGAGAAATATCATCTTCAATCAGAAGTAATCCTGATTACAGTAAGGCCCAAATAGAAGTAACAAAAGGACTTTAGTTTCTTTTTTAAAAACCTTTCTCTTTCGTCTCACACCCATACAGCCAGCATAGTGCCCTGGCACAATGGGTACTCACTTTATTTTGCACTGAGATTATAGAAACTGTAACTGGATCTTTGGTTAACTTTAAAATGCATGCCTTATTTTTCTAAACTAATGATGTCTATATTACCATTTGTTATATTTAAATAAAATAGTCCATTGTTTTCTTATAAACAAAATATTACAATCATGTACCAACAGCATTTCTAAGACAGAAACCTTAAGTCTATTGATTTCATATGTTTGTTTTTTTAACACATTCATGAAAAAGCATGTCCTAAGGTAAGAAATTTTCTTCAGACCTAACACCACCAGTCTGACTGGTGGTAGTACATAATTACATGAACATTGTATTGAAAGTATTTCAGGACCTGTATCTTAAAGTGCTTGATAGTGCCATCTGGTGGCATAAGCACTATGGAAGGCACAACTTTAATAATGCTTTTGGGACCATTTGTGTATTTTTTTAAAAATCAGTTTTATGTTAAAAGTTTAATGGAAATAGTCAAACAAAAGATGCAAAAAGACTTTCTGTTTTAATATCTCCATTGAGGATTCTTAGATAAAACACCAGTGCTCAGTTAACAAAAGAAAACATAGCTAAGTTAGACTGCATCACAATTTTATTTTTTGTACATGAAAAGGCACTATCAAGAAAGTTGACACAACAACCCACATAATGGGAGAAAATATTTGCAAGTTGAATATCTTATAAGAGTCTAGTATCCAGAACATATAAGGAACTCTTATAACTCAACAACAAAAAGACAATTTAAAAGTGAGTTAAGGAATTGAATAGACATTTCTCCAAAGAAAATATATGAATGGCCAATAAATATCTGAAAAGACACTCAACATCTTTAGTCATTAGAGAACTGCAGATCAAAACCACAATGAGATACTATTCCCTACCATTAATATGGCTTTTATAATTTAAAGAAACAAAACACCAGGAAACAGAAAATAACAAATGTTGGCAAGGATATGGAGAAATTTGAACCCTCATGGATTGCTTGAAAGAGAGGTAAAGTGGTGCAGTCACTGTGGAAAGAGTTTGAAAGTTCTTCAAATAGTTAAACAGAATTACCATATGACCCAGCAATTCCATTCCTAGGTATATTCTCAGGAGAAATGGAAACAGGTGTTCAGAAAAACCTGTACACAAATGTTTATAGTAGCATTATTTATAATAGCCAAAATGTAGAAAAAAGATCAAATTTATATTAACTGATTAGTGTGTAAACAGAATGTGTCATATCCATGCAGTGGAATATTATTCAGCTATAAAAATGAATAAAGTACCCTGCTAAGTGACAAAAGCTAGGCACAAAAGGCCACATGTTATATGATCCAACTTAAATGAGATATCTACAGTAGCTAAATCTGTAGAGACAGAAAGCATTTAAGTGGTTACTGGGGCAGGGAGCAGGGAGGAATGGAGAGTGACTACTCAGTGGGTTATAGGATTTTTTGAAGGAGTGATGTGCATGTTGTAGAATTAGGTAATGGTGATGGTTATACAACATTGTGAATATACTAAAAGATACTGAATTGTACACTTTAAAATTACTGTATTGAATTAATGGGCAAGATTTTAGAATCTTTTTTATTATTTTATATATATATATATATTTTTTCATGGTTGTTGCTAGTCCATGTATTCTATTTGTTCAGCTTTTTTAAACCTAAAATTATTTGATATATACTTTTAATCTACAGTTCCCACAGTTTTTATTTTGGTAGCTGTGTATATTTTAATGACTTTAGACATCATAATTTTTTTTTTTTTCAGTTTTTGGCCAGGGCTGGGTTTGAACCCACCACCTCCGGTATATGGGGCCAGTGCCCTACTCACTGAGCCATAGGCACCACCCCAGACATCATAATTTAATCTTTCTCAAATGATCAGTGTTTTTCTCTTCTTTAAGTTTCAAAGAATCCTGCTGTAATGTTTAAGCGAATAAGAATATTTAAAACCCTTCATAGGTATTACACTGCTGTTTCTTCCCCAAAACTATCTCTGAGCTCTGAGTCACATTTTGTTTTGTTTTGTGAGACAAGAGTCTGATTCTGTTGCCTAGGCTGGATCATGTGATCCAGGGATCAATTCCTGGGATCATGTGATTCTCCTGCCTCAACCTCCTGAATAGCTGGGACTATAGGTGCATCCTATTATGCTCACTTTTCTTTATTTAATATTTCTATTGTTTTCCAGATGTTGTGGCTCATGCCCAAAGCACTTTGGGAATCCAAGGAGAGAGGATCAGTTGAGGCCAGTAGTTCCAGACCAGCCTGAACAGCATAGCAAGACCCCCATCTTTACAAAAAGCAGAAAAATTAGTCAGGCATGGTGGCATAAGCCTGTAGTCTCAGCTACTCAGGGTCTCCAGGTTGGAGACCCCTGGAAGATTTTTATTTTCTATCTGGTCATGGTGGCTCACTCCAATAATCCCAGAAATTTGAGAAGCTGAGACAAGACGATCACTTGAGGCAAGGAGTTTGAAATCAGCCTGGGCAACATAGGAGATAAATGTTTACTGAGTGTTCCAGGTACTACACCTGGATCCTTTCACATTTATTATTTCATTTAACCCCTACACCTACTCTGTTATGGAGTAACTACAGAAGTTAGGCAGATGAGCAAAGATTAGAACCCGAGCATTCTGTCTCTGAATTGTATCCTTTTTTTCCTGCAGCTTTACCAGTATTGAATCTTACCTCTTTTGGTTCTTGTTTATTAGATACTGAACGTTTTCCCAAATGATTATTAACTGCTCTATTTATCTTTTGTCCATTATTAATAATAGATTTCAAACTGGACATACCTACCTTACTCATAGGTAGAAGACAGTATGGGTCAAAGCTTTATCATAATTTTTTTGCTTTTATCTACTTCTCTACAGGCTCTTGATGGAAATGTGTATGACCACCTCAAGGATTATTTAATAGCCTTCAGCCGGACTGAGCTAGAAACATGCCAAGCTGTGCAGAACACATTCCAGTTTTTGTTAGAAAACTCTAGCAAAGTAAGTTCTCTTTAGTGCAATATGTAGTGTTATCCATTTTAGAATCTAAAGTATATTTGCATAAGCACAATGAAGGTAGGTAATGATATTAAAAGAATGCTTTAAAGGACATATTTCCTGGAAGTTTAGAGGATGTTCTGTTTTCCTTGTTGACATGTTGGTGAAAGTGGCACCAAGGGCACAAAGGGAGGTAATGATACAAGATAGTTTATAACTTCAGTCCATTGCCATGTTCATTGCCTTTGAGAAGAATGGTTCAAACATCCAACCTTTTTTCTGCTGTACATTAGAAGTAGAAGAGTTATTGTGGGCCACATACTAAATACACAAACACTAATGAAAACTGATGAGTAAAAAAAAAGGTCCATGCATAATTTTCATGATATCTGACACCACAAATAAACAAAGCAGTCCTCACATAATCTCTATACACCCCGTGAGCCACAGGTTGGAGACCCCTGGAAGGTTTTTGTCTTCTATCTGGGCATGGTGGCTCACACCGATAATCCTAGCACTTTGAGAGGCCAAGACAGGAAGATCATTTGAGGCCAGGAGTTTGAGATCAGCCTGGGCAACATAGATCCCCATTGCTACAAATTAGCCGAATGTGGTGTTGTATCCTTGTAGTCCCAGGTACTCAGGAAGCTGAAGCAGAAAGATCACTTGAGCCCAGTAGTTCAAGGTTGCAGTGAGCTATGGTTCCACCACTGCACTCTAGCCTGGGTGACTGAGTGAGACCCTGTCTCTAAAAACAGAGAGTTTTATCTATCACTCAAATTAATTTAGAGTACATCCAACTCAGTCACATGGGGGAGCAACAGATTATGTGTCAATGCCAAAGATAATAATGAAACACAAAGGAAAAAGTAGCATTTTTATAATTATTTAAAAATTAATACTGCAGTATCTTTTTTTCTTTAAAATAAATTTTACTATCTATATGCTATTATTGATAGTAGTCTTTTCCTTTATAAGTGTTAAGATCCATCAATTTGCTGACTTTTCACACTGTGTACATAGAAAATAAATATAATCACTTTCCTTCAGGATCAGATAGATTGAAACTCTTTGCAGTAGTAAAACCATTCTTTGGAATATAAACTGTTCCTGTGATTAGTAAATGTTTTCTTTCTGATAAATTAAATGCACAATGTTTCCTGACTGACTGACTACATTTATAAAAACATATGCATTATATAACTCCTACGTTAAAAAGATCCAGTTCAATTCCCATTTTTTTGGTCAGGAATGTGAGAACTGTCTAATACCTTAGAAATTATTTGAAAAGGTCCCAGCATATTCATTTTCATATAATAGTGGCCAAAGACAGGAAAGAAAAGAGGTACAGACATTTCATCCCAAAGGCCTCTTGTATACATATTCTTGTTTTCAGTATACCAGAACTCCCAATTTTATTTTTATTTTTATATATATGTATGCATGTATGAATGAGTGACAGTCTCTACCTAGAATCTAGGTAGTGGGTATACAGGTATTTATTATATAATTTTTTTGAATTTAATGTATGTATATTTGAAATTTTTCATAAGAGAATGTTGAATGAAAGTCAATAAAAGTATCCTGACTTTGTTCTTTCTATGGAGGGGTTGATTTTTTATTTTTATTTTTTTTGAGACAGAGCCTCAAGCTGTCCCCCTGGGTAGAGTGCTGTGGCATCACAGCTCACAGCAACCTCCCATTCCTGGGCTCAAGCGACTCTCCTGCCTCAACCTCCCAAGTAGCTGGGACCACAGGCGCCCACCACAATGCCCAGCTATTTTTTGGTTGCGGCCGTCATTGTTGTTTGGCGAGCCCAGGCTGGATTTGAACCTGCCACTTTAGGTGTATGTGGCTGGCGCCTTAGCTGCTTGAGCCACAGGCACCAAGTCCAGGGGTTGATTTTTGAATTGTGATTGAATTTTCTACATTTAACTTGTTCACTCGAATATTCTGTTTCTTTATTAGTGTGTTTTGGTAACTTAAATTTTCCTAGATCCATTTCACTTATCACATTTGATGGCATAAATTGGCTTATACACTTGTTTGCTTCAAGAATTGTCTCTTTTTATTTCTCTTACTGTTTGTGCTTTCTCTCTTATTTTGATCATACTTACTAATCTGTTTATTAATCTTTGCCTAGAACCATCTTTTGTTCTGTTTTTTAGTGTTGTTACTGTTTCCTTAATTTTTGGTTTTATCTTAATCCTTCATTTACTTTCTGTACTTTTTTTTTCTTTTTTTGGCAGAGTCTTTCTCTGGTATCTAGGCTGGAGTGCAGTGGCCATGTCATTATAGCTCACTGCAGCCTTGAACTGGCCTCAAATAATCCTCACACCTTGACCTCCCAAAGTTCTAGGAGTTTAGGCATGAACCAGCTTACACAGTCTCTCTACTTTCTTTTTTATTTATTTATTTATTTATTTATTGTTTGGGATTCATTGAGGGTACAAAGAATTGTTGTTTCTTTGTTGTACAGAGAAAGTTATATTGATTGCATTTTTTAAAGTCCCTCTTATAATTGTGTCTCGCCCCTAAGAGATGTGCCGTGCACTGTGACTCTCTACTTTGTTACAGTTTATTTTCTTGTTCTTTTTCAAGCCTCTTTCTCTATTTTTTCTTTAATTTTGTTGAGGTAAAATATATAATTTATCATCTTTATCATTTTTAAATGTATGGTTCAATGATAACACATACATTTATTTATATTCTTTTTTCCGTTTCACCTCCTTCTTTTTCTATTTTAGGTCCTTTATTTTTAGTCTGTCTTTTCTTTTTTTTTTTTTTTTTTTTTTGAGACAGAGCCTCAAGCTGTCCCCCTGGGTAGAGTGCCATGGCATTACAGCTCACAGCAACCTCCAACTCCTGGGCTCAAGTGAGTCTCCTGCTTCCGCCTCCCAAGTAGCTGGGACCACAGGCGCCCGCCACAACGCCCGGCTGTTTTTTGGTTGCAGCCGTAATTGTTGTTTGGCGGGTCCGGGCTGGGGATTCGAACCCACCACCTTAGGTGTATGTGGCTGGCGCCTTAGCTGGTTGAGCTATAGGCGCCGAGCCGTAGTCTGTCTTGTTTTTAAGTAAACCTGTGTAAGGCTGGAAAAAAGTCATCTACTTTAACTGCATTCTGTGATATGTAGGACTTTTGTTATTTCTACATTTTTCCCCTTTAATAATCAGTGATGACTTTATTAATCCATCGTGAGTTTTGCCATTTCCATTCAGTGGGAGTATGCAGTAGAGTTCCACTTTTCATTTCTAATTTTATTATACATTGTATTTGACTGGGCACAGTGGCTCACACCTGTGAGTGGGAGGCTGAGGTGGGTGGATTGCCTCAGGTCAGCAAGAGGGAGACCCCATCTCTATTACAGATAGAAAAACTAGCCTGGCGTTGTGGCAGACAGCTGTAGTCCCAGGTACTGGGAAGGAGTCAAGAGGATTGTTTGAGCCCAAGAGTTTAAGGTTGCTATGAGCTATGATGAAGCCACAGCACTCTACCCAGGGCAACAGAATGAGACTCTCTCAAAAACAAACCAAAAAAAAAAAAATTGTATTTTATTTTTATTCTATCACTTTCATCCTAATTTTATCAGAGTGGTTATCCTCCAACAAAATTCCTTAAAATTTTTTTTCCAAGAATAAGTTAGATGGAATATGCTATACTTGGTTTATAAAACAGGTAAACACAACCATAACAAATAGCTAATATTTTATACATTCTTAACAGTTTCCTAAGAGTTTTAGCATATTATATATCTCAAATCCTGCAAGTTTGGTATTACCATCTCATTTTATAGAAAGGAAAGTGGACTTAGGAAGTTTATATGATATACTTGAGCCCACACACTCATGGTATTTTCCATGATCTTCTACTTTATAATCTCTTAAGTTTATATTATTTTAATAGAAAATGAATTAAGAATTCATGAACGGCTCGGCGCC